ACCATTTATCACACTTCACTCAGTCCTATTCACTCATCACCCCTGCACGTACTGACAGATATTGGTTCCAGTCTCAATTTCAAAGTTCTGATCATTTTCAAATCCCTTTGTGGCCTCACCTCTCCTATAACTCTGCAACTCCACCAGGTTCCTGCGTGCATCCAATTCTGCATCTTGAGCATTTGAGTTCAAATGATTCACTGCCGGTCTCTGTGTCTTCAGCTGCTATGGCCTTCACCTCTAGAATTGTTTTCTCTCTACTTCTTGTTCTTTCTTTAAGGAAATGTTTAAAATCTATTTCTTGGCCAAACCATTGGGCTATTTGCCCTAACATTGCCTTGGGTGTTTATGTTTTGCCGATTGTGCTATTGCTTTATTGAAAGTTCAGTAAAAATATTTTGTTGCTAAAATGCCTTAAATCTTTGAACCTACAGACACCAGAATCTATTGTATTGTGCAAGTAAGATAGGATGTATAGAATGTAAAATACATTCTTGTATTTTAGACACCGGGTATTGGAGTGATTTTGATGGATAGCCTGGTGGAGCCTGTTAGCCTTCTCAAATGCATTCTCAAACGTTACTTTATACTTTGCATTGCTCAATGACCATTCATATTCTGCAGTCCAGTTCCTTAAGTGTACTAATTTATTTCCAGATGATTTGCCAAAGAGGCGGCCGGCCCAAATTTATAAGCCCTCCAATCCTGACACTTTGGCTTACCTTGACTTCAGTGTATCTACAACAGGAATGCTGGCAGGAGTGAAGGTAAGATAACATAGAAGCTTTTGTCTCCTGTCTCATGAGTCTTTGTCTTAACGAAAAATCACTTTCATTTGTATGAAACACCTTGTCTGCTTGCCAAAAGAAATCTGCAGAATTATACTCCTAACGAATGAAGTAAAGATAAGATCAAAGAGATGTAGATCCAGAGAAACGTGGTTACTTGAATCCAAGTTAAGGCAATTATCTGGACATAATATAGATTTTGAATACATGACACATTGGACCAAACCTGCTGCACTGTGATCCAGGAGGCCACAGAATCTGTCAGCTCACCCACACATGTTGAATTGAGCTGTCTTAGGGAGAGAAGTTGCTTTTTAGAAGTCTATCTCTCATGCTGAGTCATCAAAATCTGCTCTCACAATCCCAGAGGTTTGTCAGAGTGATGTTAATGAAAGCCTGGCTGCAGGTCTCCATTTTATCTCTCTGTTGGTTTATGATTTTGTGACGTTGAATAAAGGTTTTTAAAAAAAAGGGAGAAAATATTTATGCTTAATGTCTCTGTACTGTGCTCCTTGATAAGTGCCATGACATGGATTTGAGTAGCTAAATAATACTGCATCTGTGTGGTAGCTGGCCTTAAGCTTTGTTTGTACAAATAAAGCTAAATTATTGTGTACCATTTTGTACTTTTATTAGCTTTTTTATAACATGAAAACGATTCATTGCTTTTTGTAGTAAGTGTGATTAGTTTTTGGATTGGTGAACCATTTTGATTGCCTTGCATCTTTTAGGCTATTGTTAATTTTAATTATCATTGGACAATTTTGTACCATCTTGTAAACCTTTTTCTAATGAAATTGCTTTCTTTGGCTAGGGACAGAACTTACTGAGTACTTATGCATGATCTATCAGAATGGTTCACTCATCACTTAATCACTGTGTCTCTGTACATATCATTTTTAGAATTGCCGCTTTTTAAAACCAAAACTGGACATGTTGCAGTACAAAGGTTGGGGTTGGCCTCACAAGATGTGTTCTAAAATTAGGGTTGTTGATGGTGAAAAGTAGTGTTTAGAAAGTTAAAATTTATGAAGTCCATTTTTATAAGCTAAAAACTGATCTGTATTTTAAAAATCGGGCAATCCCATTTGACTCGCTTTCCAAAATTCCACACCAAAAACTGTAATGTTCCAACAAACTGGGGCAGGTGGCACTTTTGTAACATTGTTTATTCACCCAACCATATTATTTTAGATTTTAAAAAATCTTACAAGTTTGATTTAGTGTTAATACTTCTGTGCAATTAAAGATATTGTCAACCCTTGCATTGGCATACTGCCTTGGTAACTGCTGAATAGGCAATTAGATCATGAAATGCATTTTCTGTACACTGTCTTGCTGGGTAATCAGATAGTAAAACAAAATACGTTTTTTTTAATGGGTTCATAGCATTTCAGCAATCTCTGCATAAAACTATGGTACATACAAGATATGTCTCGGAAATGTAATTGATTTCTGAAATTCAGTTTTGAGACAACATAGTAGTGCTTTACTTATTATGTTAGATTTGTTGAAGGATTTTTTAAAAATGGCATTGTGTTCAGTCATAAAATGACGCCAGAGTTAGTTTCTGGCCTAAAGAGTTTAAAATCCTTTTTATTTCAGAAGTATCTTTGCAAATAAACTGACATAGGATTTGTTAATTGTGTATTGCAAAGCATGTCTGCACACAGGTTTTGTAGATTTGTATTGCATGCAACGTTTTTCCTTGTCTTTTTGTTATCATTTTTTAATGTTTGTGCGAAAGGTATTCATGAGCATATTTGTAACATTTATATGTTTCATCTGATTATTTTAAAAATAGAATAAATGATTCTTTTAAATCTCATGTAATGATCCACTGATGATCACTGCATGGTGTTGATCTAGATTTCACAGACCAGGAACATTTCAAAATCTGATCGCAGTTTTATGCTGAGTTGGCTGTTCTCGCCAGGGTCAGTGATTGAGCCATAACTGTTGGCCTCAGTATCCATGAGTTATCACAGAAACAAAAACAATCTGATTACAACTCCTGCTTATGTTGGCCTTATACTGGAAAATTTCTGGCTTATCCAGGTGAATGTATAATGTGGCTCAGTTGGAACACAGCCAGAATTGAAAAGTGTGTCAATATGTGTTCATAAAAGAAAGATAGATGTCTCAATTATTTCTTAGCACATGTGAGACAGTGCCGTAACATCGGCTGGCTTCTCCTGGTAAGAGGGAAGGAATAGCAGGAGGGAAACAAAAATATATTTTTGTGTTACCCAAGCTGTGTGCAACAGCCTGCTGTTTGGGATGGTATGAGCTGGAACATTGTCACAGATTCCCTCTGGATCATAGAGTGATCAAAGAACCTTAAAAACTAACAAAACCTTGAATTAATTTTGAATGTCTATCCATCTAACTGGCAACAAGTCCACTGCTTTACTGCTGGAACTTTCAGAGCATTGTGACATTGTTTTTGCAATAAAATACTGGAAAACTAAAACACAATTTGTTTTACAAATTCTTGAAATGATCTTTAAATTGCTGTCTGTTGCTTACCTCTACGTTTAGATGGCTTCAAGCTGCTTATTGCAAAAGGCACTTTCTCACCTGGAGTTTTTATGATGTTAATGGTTTTGTTACTTTTGACTGTATAACAAAATTGAGAAAACAACAAACTCACATATATGCAAACTTTCAATATAGTCATTAATAATATAAGAAAAATATTCTCTGGTTCTAGAAGTTGGAAGGTATTTCTTTGCATGAGTAGTAATAAATTATTGTGTTAATCTTACTAAATTTTATATGTAAATTGTTCACTGTATATTGTACTTGAAATATTCCAGAAGGCAATAGTCTTTCACCTCTGTGATGTGGACTCAAATCTAGCCTAGCCTGATGAACCAAGAATCACTTTTGGTTGTAGGGTCATATCCGTTCTGGGGAAATTTTACTCCAGTACCAAGTGGATATGGGCTTACATCACAATTTGGATCCAAATTGGTAAATTTGCTTTAATCAGGTACAGAATGACTGATTTAAGAAATGGAGAGATGTTGCAGTTGTGCAGTAAAGGCTTTATAATAAGTTTGGTCTTGTGATATTGTTGAAGTAGAGTATTGGGTGCACTAGCCAAACAAGGGATATTTGGTGTTGATACAGTAGTGAGAGTGAAAATACATTGAATACATGTGACAATAAATGATTCAATTCAATAAGATGCTGCATTCCTCAGCAAGTGCAATCCTGATTAAAATGAGTACAATAAATGTTCACACTCTTTAAAAGGAAAAATATCCTTATGCAAAACTTGCCATGCATAATCACTGCATGGTTATTTCTATGTGCAGATTTTTCCAATTAGAAACTTAGTTTAAGCTAATGACAAATGTGATTTAAATAAAATACAAGTCGCCTATTTGGAATTGTACAATTTCTAATGGTCTTTTCGGATAGACATGCATACAAATTAGGAGCTGGAAATGGCCATTTGGCTTCTCAAGCCTGCTCCACCTTTTAATAAGGGAATAGAGTAGGATACATTCATGTAATCCTGGAAGCATGCCATGGTATTACAATGTTTTGTGCCATTTACTGCCTTAAAATTGAATGAAAGCTTCTTTGGCTCAAAGGTGACATTTCATGAGCTGGCTGGTTGTAATGCTGTAACACAAGGATGAAAGGTCTCGCAGTAATGCTGTCTGAATATTTGAACATTGAAATTGCTTTAATTTTCCTCTTCATAATTGCTATATTTGTATGCCAGAATCTCCTAATAAAAATTTAAACTTTGGTAAATATAATTGAAATTTGCTATGAATTTCAAGCAAATGCTTGCAAACCAAGCTATCATTCTTGTTCATTTATAATTTTTGCATTGTATAAATGTAAGGAATTAATCTTATTTTGTGTTAAATGTGATAATGATGCTAGAAAATGTGTAAATTGTAAAAGGAGAAAGGATATGGATAAGAACTATTAATCAGAATCTTGTTTACAATTCTGATTAATAGTTCTTATTCATGCTGTTTCAAATCATCTTTCTGGCGTGTGAGAAAGGATCACAACATAGGATGAAGGCTTTTCTATTAGCTTCTGTTTTCCACTTGTTTGCCTTTTGCACTCTGGAGATTGGACCATGACTGCCACAACTTGATTCTCTCGTGAGCTTCAGTCATCACTGTACACACCTGACTCGCATTATTCGTTAATGTACTGGGTTCACTCTCTGACTTGGAGTGAAAGATTTTGTCTTTTGACTGTTATTTAACTGGTATGCGTCCTGACGCAATATTTGAAATTGAGTTTATTCTAATTAACAGTAGAAATCCACAAGATGTTCATTCATCTGAGGCACCATTTTTTCTTTCTTTCATTTCCCATGCCCCACCCTTGCCATTTATTTCGTATGCAGACGTTGTAGGAGAAAGATAACAAGTCTTTTCTCTAAGAACAGAAATAATTCAACTTTTCTTTTCTCATCCATGCTTTTCTACTTTTCTGACCTGCTTTTGAATGAGAGAATGGATCAATTTGACCTATGTAGCTCTCCAAAGACATTACCAAGACCAACATTGGTCAGTCTGCACGAAACATGCTTTAATGTTGTGCCACCCCCTTCCCCCTCTCTATAGCTAATATCTCCAATTCACCCAAGAAAGTGATCTTGTTAAGCTTAACAATACTTTCTCTCCTAGGGAAAATGAGATTGTGATTGTTGATAAAGAAACTTGGGATTGAAATTGGGTTGTCCCACTTGAGAAACTTAACATTTTTGCATTGCAGCTAATACAGTTCCGTTGTGTAAAATGTAATGGATTTCTTATGTGCAGACTACTAAGAATTCTTAGTTTGAATTAAATGTAGAAAAACTACTGCTGGGAGGTTGAAGACTCTTACCCAGGAGCACCTGGCATATATACACAAGCCTTGCCCTCTATTTCCATCAATCAGTTCACTCATAATGTGAGTCCTTTGATAGACTATTGCTATTTTTATTCATGAAAGCCGTCTCTCCTGCTATTTGAATGTTAGTGAAGTCCCCAAAGACCTGTTTGAGCCGTCTAATACTGTTCTCAAATGTTTGTTTTCATATTATTTGGATTTTGTGAATATAATTGATTTTCTGTTAACATTAAAATAATTTAAATACGAAAAATGTTTTTCTGCAAGCTAATTGCTAAACTACTTTACATGTTTCAAATTGTGTATAGTTGATCATTTTTACTCTGTAATAATTAGAAATCCTAAAATGTTAACATAATTTAGACAAATCTGAACTGGAGAAATGAATTAATTGAGAGAGCTGGGTCTCTGATCTATAATTGCAATATCTCTTAATTAGCATACTGAACAATCTTAAAATTAAATTGTCATGATTTTCCAGTCCAGAGTTTTCATTGTATTGCATCAAGAGGTTTACATTGAAATATGATTAAGTTCTAGTATCATCTATCAAATTGTAATTTTATACTGCACAGATTATGAGCATTATGTATTGATATATAGAAAAGTAATTTGTATTTGCCAAAAATTCCTTCCATATGCTTTCTAGATCAATATCGTCTGTATTTTGGATGTCTATAGCTTCCATTTATTGACTTGTGTAGTACTGTAGAATACTTAGTGTATTTTTAAATTTTTACCCACAGATGAAAAGTCTGGATGCATTTTTTTATGGTGGTGATCAAGTTTGAAATCAAATGTCTGATTGCAAATAGCCAGTCTAGAAGTAGACAGGAGCAGGGGAAGCGAGCCAAGACTGGAGATCTATAGTGAGGTCTTCATGTTTAATGGAATGGTTGACCTTACAAAACAATCTGGGTGCCCAAATTGTCCTGACTTTGTGTACTAAATTTCCAGTGCAAGCCCACCTGGGATTTTCCTCCTTTTGGGAAACTAAGGCAACTTTTAAAAAAATTTATTCATGTGATATGGGCATTGCTGGCTGCACCAACATTTATTGCCCAATCCTAGTTGGCCTTAAGTAGGTGGTGTCAAGCTGAGCTAAGGCCTCAACAAAGGTTTCATTCAACAGAGAGGTTGTTTGGCAATTGTGGCCTCTGACTATGCATGCTCAATCTTATGATGCATGATTATCAACTTTAGAAACTAACCAGATAAGTTTATAGGATAATCAATGTTAAACAATCTTCAGATGTGACTATGGACTTTTATTACCTAAATGGATAGCTCGAGTCGTGAAACTTGAAGTTGTGAAACTTCCTGACCCGACAGATCAGCTTTGGCTAAAAGGGCCCCATTAGACCTGACTTCCTCTCCAGGTAGGCATGGGCACAAGAGCGTCATGTCTGTCAGTCCCATAAGCAGGTCATGGGCAGCTGGTTAGAAGGCCCACTTCCTGGACTTACCATTTTTAAGCTGTGAGGCCTTCTAGTTCACATTCTGTCATAACCCCCTATGCTCCTCTATGCTGGCTATCACCTCTGTATGCCAACTGATGCATCCTACACGCACAGCACATCCTCTGCATGTCAACTCATGCCCACCACCTACAGCTGTCCCTCCACAGTCACTCATATTCTTTTCCAACTCCAACTTGGGCAGACCTCAGGAGCCATGAGGAGAGGAGAAAAAAAATTAAACTTTTAGCAACTTAACACAGATCTCTTGCATACTAATAGTGAAAAATCTTGCATTCTTAAAATCTGTTCAAAGCTTTTAAATCTCAAGTATTCAATCTTTTAATTAAAAGAAAACAAAATTCTAACCAGTTAACCATCAAAGACAGATAATCCTTTGATAGCCACTTTCTAAGTTGTCAGTCACACTGTGACCTCACAATGCCCTGAAGTCCTTAGAATCATAGAATCCCTACAGTGCAGATAGAGACTGTGTTTGTTTGAGCCATCGAGTCTGCACTGACCCTCCAAAGAGCATCCCACCCAGACCCAACCCCGACCCCCACCTAATTCCTGTAACTCCATGTTAACCATGGTTAATCCATCAAACCTGCATCTCCCTAGACACTAAAGGGAAATTTAGCATGGCCAATCCTCCTAACCTACACATTTTTCGACTGTAGGAGGAAACTGGAGTACCTAACATGGGGAAAATGTGCAAACTCCATGCCGACAAACATCCGAGGCTGGAATCGAACCCAGGCCTTTGCACTGTGAGGCAGCAGCACTAACTCCTGAGCCACCATGCCTCCCATTAGTTACTTCTGAAACTCAGCCAAACAATCATAATGACTTCATGACTGTCCTTTGGGAAACACCAACCAAGAACTCACCCACTTGTGTCTATGTTTTAATAATATTCTTGTCTAACCTATGCCACAGAACCTGAGAATCAGAGTTTGTGTGTTTATTTTTTTCAAGTTTAAAGAGCAATAGATTTTTCAAAAGCTTCAAGTCATGACACTTAAAGAAACGTTCTCCATCATTCAAGGGATTCTATGTCCAATCCATAAGTTTGTGACCCCCATACTATAGGTTAAAGCCCTTGAAACAGTCAAAATATTTGAATTCAGCACTAAGTTCACAAGTCCTTGCTGAGTTTGGGCTCCTATCATTGTGAATCACGTCCCTGCCCCTGATTAGCACAAAATTGGGTCTGTTGGAAATGGGGATAGGACACTTGCGTCTAGGTCACACATACAATTTTTAAAGGTCTTCCAACTTTTGAAAATCCAGCCTATGTTTCAGGTAGCTGCAATCTGTGACTTTATGAAAATACAATTTGAAAATCATTCAGACTTGAGAGTTGTGCCAATTTTGCCATTTTGAGAGAACAGTTCTGTGAGAAATACTAAGATAATTAATTCTACAAGCTGTCTTTATATGTGCATTGGTCAATAATTTTAAATATTATGTTTTTGTTTCCACATTATCAGTTTTCTGTCTTTGTACTGTTGCCGTTGTGAGAGAAAGTCTAGATCAAATTGTTTAGTTGTAGAGGAAAAATTTCGATCTTGTGCAGATTTGGAATTTCTAACAAGACACTTCCTTTGTCCTGCAGATGTCTCATGCAGCAACTAGTGCCTTGTGTCGTTCGATAAAGCTGCAGTGTGAGCTTTACCCATCCCGAGAAGTAGCAATCTGCCTGGACCCCTACTGTGGTCTTGGATTTGTTCTTTGGTGCCTCTGCAGGTGAGGAACTGACATGATGAATTTTCTTAATGAGCGCTTTGTTGCCTTTAAGTCCTGTGTTTCCAAAATCCTTGTCATGGTTTAAATAATAGAAAAATACATAATGAATCTTGCGCCTTATCCTCCATTGCTGACCAGATAATGTAAATCTAGAAGCTTGTTTCCCATTCAAAACAGTTGCTTGCCATTCCCCCGATTCATAAATCAAATATGACAAAGTGATAAATCAATTAACTGCTTGATTGAAGCTATTGTTACCGTTCTGTTTATTTTTCTGACTTCCTTAAGAAAACAGGCGAGGTGCCGGAAGACTGGAATGTGGCTAATACGGTGTCATTGTTTAAGATAAGTGGTTAGGAAATGCCAGGGAGCTATAGACCAGTGAGACCTACATCAGTGGTGGGCAAGTTGTTGGAAGGGATTCTGAGGGACAGGATTTACATGCATTTGGAAAAGCAAGGACTGATTAGGGATAGTCAACATGGCTTTTTATGTGGAAAATCGTGCCTTACTAACTTGAGTTTTGTGCAGAAGTGTCAAGTTAGATCGATGAAGGCAGAGCAGTAGATGATGTCTGCATGGACTTCAGTAAAGCATTCAACAAGGTTCCACATGGTGGATTGATTAGCAAGGTTAAATCACATGGAATCCAGGGAGAGTTAGCTAATTGGATACAAAATTGGCTTGGAGGTAGGAGGCAGAGGGTGATGGAGTGTTGTTTGTCGGACTGGAGGCCTATGACCAGGGTGTGTGGCAAGGATCGGTGCTGGATCCACAGCTTTTTATCATTTATATAAAATAATTTGGATGTGAATATCGGAGGTATAGTTGGTAAGTTTGCAGACGACACCAAAATTTGTAGTGTAGTGGACACTGAAGAGTCCTATGGGACCTTGATTAGATGGGCTAATGGGCCAATGAGTGGTGGATGGAATTTAATTTAGATAAATGGATTTTGGTAAGACAAACCAGGCCAGGACTTGTGTAATTAATTTATAGGGTCCTGGGGAGTGTTGGCAAACAAAGAGACCCAGGGGTGCAGATGCATAATTCCTTGAAGGTGGAGTAGCAGGTGGACATCGTAGTGAAGAAGGCATTTGGCACGTTTGCCTTCATTGGTCAGTGCATTGAGTATAGGAGCTGGGACATCATGTCAAAGCTGTGTAGTACATTGTTGAGGCCACTTTTACAATACTGCATTCAATTCTGATCTCCCTGCTATAGGAAAGATGTTGTCAAACTTGAAAGGGTTTATAAAAGATTTACAAGAATGTTGCCAGGATTGGAGGGTTTGAGCTATAGGGAGAAGCTGAATAGGCTGGGACTTTTTTCCCCTGGAGTGTTGGAGACTTAAGGGGTGACCTTCAAGAAGTTTCTAAATTCATGAAGGACATAGATAGGGTGAATAGCCAAGGTCCTTTCCCAGGGTAGGGGAATCCAAAACTAGAGACCATGGGTCTAAGGTGAGAGGGGAAAGATTTAAAAGGAGCCTGAGGGGAAATGTTTTCATACAGAGCGTCGTGCATGTATGGAACGAGCTGCTAGAGGAAGTGGTGGAGGCGAGTACAATTACAACATTTAAAAGGTGTCTGGATGGGTATATGAAGAGGAAGGGTTTAGAGGGATATGAACCAAATGCTAGCAAATGGGATTAGATCAGTTTTGGATATCTGGTCGAGTTGGATCGAAGGGTCTGTTTCTGTGCTGTATAACTCCACGACACTATAATTCAGAATGAAATGTGTTTGACTAACCTCAGTTAGGTTTCTGAGCACAAGATACCTTTGAGTTGGCATATAATTGGCAGCCTTTCAGGATCATTACCAAATGCAAGTCTCTGCCAGCTGATGAACTAGCATGTCTACACATGTCAGATTGCACCCTTGGGAAGTAATGAATGATCCGAGATAAATATCGGTTGGCACCAGGATATAAGATTTACAGTAGCTAGTTTAAGACATTGTTGATCCTACTATTTTTCAATCTAGTAATAATCAATTACATGCAAACATAAATAAATTGATAGCAAGTGTCTTTATAGCTCAAATGCCAGGTCATTCATGCTATTTACAATTTGTTCCAAGTACAACTTTGCAAAATTGAGGCTAACGACACCTTGGTTCAGTATTAATACACTTGCCTCTGCAACAGAAATGTGTGTGCTCAGTCTTCATTGCAGAAATTGAATGCAGAATATAGGCTGACACATAATAAAGCACTGCAAAACTGGCAGCATTTAGAAAGTGTCTCATTTACCTATTCATGTAAAAACTGATAAGTCAGGAGTTCACCAAGTAATCTGTCCTCAATTAATTACATCATAACTGTTGAGAAGAATGAGAGATGATCTTACTGAAATATCCTGAGGGGGCTTAGCAGAGTAGTTGGTAAGAGTTGTTTCTCTCTATGGGGGACATCTGGAACTCAGGGCCGCAGTTTAAAAATATGGGGTCTCGTATATTGTATGGTCTTGCCCCTCCTTAACTCTGTAATCTATACTCTGTAATTGCACTACACATTGCAGTATCTTTACTAGTCTAAGTCTGGCCACTTGTGCATCCCCACTCATAATTGCTGCACTTATTGGGGGCCATGCCAGTTGTTGGCTAGGTCATAAGTGCTGGATTTCCAATGTACATCTCTCTCCTTCTTACTTCACTTCGCTCCTTCAAGACAATTCTTAAGACCTACCTGTTTTACAAGCTTTTGGCCATCTGATCTAGTATCTCCTTCACTAGTTCAAAGTCATACTTCGATTTTTTTAATGCTCATGTGAAGTGCTTTGTGATGTTTCATTACATTTAAAGGTGCAATATAAAAATAAATTGTTGTATTAAATTCGGAAGACCAAAAAGACAGACCCAAAGGAGTGATGTTGTCAGTACGGTGTAGCATATCTCATGAGACAATCATTTATTGACTTTTTCAGACAGATTGGAAATGCATATGGAGTAACAGATGGCTGGGTTACATCAGGAAGATGAAAGCTGTCTCAGTTTTGGCTTAGGTGCACCATTCATTGACAAAGCCACCCAGAACTAATGAGAGACTGTCTGTTTTTTTTTTATTTATCTACCAAGTGTGATGCACAAAAATAATACAGGATACACATAAAGTCAAGCTTTGACAGTTTGAAGCTGTCTATTGTTGTTAACGATAGATTGTTTTAACAATATTAATTTCTTTACTTGGTTGGAACTTTGATTTTTTTTTAGAAAAGGGATAAAGGTGTTATTTAATTTTTATATGAAACAGCTTTGTCAACTGGTTTGTGGCATCAATTTCATTAGCAAATATAGAATTGAATCACTTTGAAATATCTGATACATAACATGGTACCAAGTAACCAATAACTAATGACAAAAACAAAGCTGCTGGAAAAGCTCAGCAGATCTGGCAGCATCTGTGAAGGAAAAAACAGAGTTAACATTTCGGGTCCGTTGACCCTTCCTCAGAACTGATGGTGGCTGGAGAAGTTCTGAGGAAGAGTCACTGGACCCGAAATGTTAACTCTGTTTGCTCCTTCACAGATGCTGCCAGACCTGCTGAGCTTTTCCAGCAACTTTGTTTTTGCTCCTGATATACAGCATCCACAATTCTTTTGGTTTTTAACCAATAACTAATGTTTCCTTGAACCAAAATCTAATTGGTTCAGAAAGCATAGAAACATAGCAGATATAGAAGCAGCAGTAGGCCATTTGACCTCTCAAGCCTGCTCTGCCTTTCACTGCATTGTGGCTGATCAATGAGCTCAAAATACCCTAATCCCACCCTCCTCCTATTTCCGTTGATCCCTTTAACCACAAGAGCTATATCTACCTCCTCCTCAAAAATACAAAGTTTTGTCCTCAACCACTTCCTGTGGTAGTGAATTCCACAGGCTCACCACTGTCTGGGTGAAGACATTTGTCCTCATCTCAGTCCTAAAAGGTTTACCCTTATTCTTAAAATAGGTATACTGTTTACAATTTTCTTGCCTTGTAAATGGAAAGAGATGTCATCATCTGCCAGTTCTGAATAAAAATCTATTAGGTTGGTACAGTGGCTCAGTGGTTACCACTTCTGCCTTAAAGCATCAAGGACCCAGGTTTGATTCCAGCCTTGGGTCACTGTCAGTGTGAAGTTTGCATGTTCTCCCCACATCTGCGTGGGTTTCCGCTGGGTGCTCTGATATTTCCTCCCACGGTCCAAAGCTGCGCAGGTTATATGGATTGGCCATGCTAAATTGCCCATAGTGTCCAGGGATGTGCAGGCTAGGTGGGTTAGCCGTGGGAAATGCAGAGTTACAGGGATAGGGTAGAGCGGTTGGTCTGGATGCTCCAAAGAGGCAGTGAGACTTGATGGGCCGAATACTCTGCTTCACAATGTAGGGATTCTATGAGAAATTCAACAATCTTACTGTATAGGTAAGCAGCAAATAAATCACCCTCAACTGGGTTTGCAACAAGCCAGCAGGTAAGTTGTTCATCAGTTAATAACAACTTTGTCAGTGTATGCTAAGATTACGTAAATTGAAATAGTAAGTAAGTTAGCCTGACTCTCGAGGAAGTGTAACCAAAGATTGAAGAAGTTTAAGAACTTGGCTGTCCTCCATTAATAGCAAAATCATTTCTTGTGGAAACTGGATTTGTGTCCGTCAAATGATTTCAAGTATTTTCTTGCCAAGATGAAGATAGAAGTAATACTTTGTGAGCAGAGTATGTGAAGAAGCAGCTTTGCTTTAAATTAAATATAACCCCGCCATAAAAATATTGTAATTTGAGAATAACATTTGAGCATTATTTAATCATTATAATTTTTTTTGACAAAATTGCTTTGAGAGTGTTTGGTAGTGAGTGCAACATTCAGGTGAGAAACACAGATTTGTCGGCACAGAAAAGGAGGTTTGGGCTCTTTGTGCTGTTGTTCATCTTCACCTTTACTTGATATCTGAGAGAACTAAAATCTCATTTAATGTTCATTATTATTTCTTGATATATGGTTAATATTTCTCTAACTCCGAGGATTGCAACAACAATTCACTCTAATCCTGCCCTCCCATAGCCTCCCTTATCCTGTTCCTTTTTAAATGACTTTATAATCTGTGGCTCAACAGCCAATAGTTGCTCGATCATTAACCAACACACAAAAACTTTTCATGCACTCAAACTTCTCTTAATTTAAATACTATTCTTAGGTTCCTCAAATACTGTACAAGTCTAGTGAAAATGTTCCACTTTTTCAAGCTGTTGTTAATTGTTGTATAAATTCCAGATCAGACGAGCCTGTACCTTTAAAACAGTTATGTGACATGTGACTTTCCAGAATAAAGGTAACCTCGTCATCTTCAGTGATTCTGCCTGTGTCATGGAGTCAGTATAGTGTGGTCAGTCAGTCAGCTATGTGTATTTACTGTACAGTAACATCAAAAAATACAGGACCTAGAACCTATATCTGGGTCTTACTTATTTTTGGCCAAGTCAAAGTTGCATCAAGTTTTTTTGAGGGATTTCCACTGTGGGTTTTCTTGCTATATTATACCAAATTCACTCCATTTACTCCCTACTCTGTCCATATGGCATACCTCATATCCATTCCAGCCTCATCTTATCAAATGGCATCCCCAGAACAACTTGCCACTGCCAGGATATCCCAGAATTAACTAGCAGCCCTTGTGCCATCTTTAAAAGCCAGTTATACACTTGGACAACAGTGTCAGTCTGGAGTTCCCTGTGTGGTTCCTGACATTTGCTACAGACATGGCAGATGGGGGAATCGGTGCCTTGCTATGCCACCAGGGCCCTGAAGGTGCTGCTGGACCGGGTGGTTCCTCTTCCCCCAGGACCAGCAGTGGAGGCCATGGCACCAGAACATGCCAGCATGCTCCGAGGTTACCATCCAAAATAAAGCAGTCTCAGCCATCTGGAGGAACGTACAGTACTGTACAAAGAAGGTCAATGACCTTCTCCAGTCCAGCGTAAGTGCCAACACCATCATCTCTCCAGTACCTCACTCTCACTCTGTCTCCACCTCCCATCAAGCCTCATGCTCGACCCACTCTCCTGCAACATCCATCTTTAGTTTCTGTCAACTGTCCCAATTTCCATCAGCACTAACCCTCCCTGCCCTCTGTGTTGCCTACTCGCTCACAAGGGAAACTCTCCACCTGCACCAAAGTTAACAGCTACACTACCCAATTCCATCTCCCTTAATACCCACCTGTCTGTCATTCTTGGAGGAATGCAGCCCACAGTAGGGCAGCCTGATGGATGGTGGGCTGCCTGACATTCACATCCTAACTCCTTATGTGGAAAGCATCATGACACCTGACTGACTGTGACTAAACCATTGAGCTGGTATTTGAGGTCGCCCTTGACTAAGTGTTGTTTGCCATTAATAGGTAAATCACAGGTTACCATAGTCCCTGAGGATTTCTCTCTCGCTCTCGCTGTCTCTTGCGCGCGCTCGCTCTCTCTCTCTCATGCTCGCTCGCTCTCTCGCGCTGTCTCTATCTCTGTTTGCTGGGGAAGTGTTAGCTGTGTTTATTTTAATCCCGACAGATGCTACCAAGCTCATTGAGTTTGTCCAGCACTTTCTGTTTTTGTGTCAGATCTCTTAGCATCTACAGTTCTTTCTTTATTATCCTGATGTTTCATTGTTGCAGCTACGGTTTCCACTTTACATAATGAGTGTTCAGAATCGCAAATATGTTCCACTTATGCCTTAACAAATATGATACAAATTCAGCATTAATTTCTTTATTTTTAGTTCTTTTCATGTCAAATCTAAATATAATTAGTCTTTTTATCCTCCTTTCTACATTTGCTTTCACATTAAAATCTACTTTTTTGCATGTTTCATTCTCTGTCTTTCTTTCTCTATTCTAAAGTCTAACATTTATTAGTATTTTTTTCTGTTCTTTTGATAAACTGCACCCGTCAGCTGTATGGCCTTCAGATAAAATATGTGCCAGAATAGAATCCAGAGGCAGACCACTGCCCACACCTATAAATCCAAAAGGCAGCCGTTTACCATTTACTCTCTGCTTTGCGCCTCCAGCTAATCTTTCCAATACCATGTGAGGGGGTAATTCTCATATGAAGTGGCAACTTATCAAATGCCTTCAGGAAATCTATGTGTATAATGTGTATCTCTTTATATACACTGATGGAATTAAATTCGTCAAGTATGCCCTGTCTTTTTATACTTTATGATGTTTTAATATCCGGGCATCTTTCTTTTCAGTGTCTACTCAGGGCACCAGTCAATCCTCATCCCTCCTTCAGAACTGGAGATAAATCCCTCACTCTGGCTCCTGGCTGTCAGTCAGTACAAAGTTCGAGACACCTTCTGCTCGTACTCCGTTATGGAACTCTGCACAAAGGGGCTCGGCTCGCAAACTGAATCACTGAAGGTTAATTACTTTTATTTTTTTCATTGCTAATCTCAATGCTTTGTTTTGATCCATAGATTTATTTAAACATTCTGATGTCTTTGCTTAATCGTGCATACTTGTGGGAATTTCCTGAAAAGAACTTACAAAAGTTGGCGTAACATCTTCAAAGTATTGAAACGTATACCAATCAAGTAAGCTGGGAAATGGAGTCGACCTTGTACTTAGGAACATGTTAAACTGAGGAGTTACTTGGTTTTAATGCACTAGACACTTTCCAAATATAGCACGATAACAAGGAAATCCTGCCTAAACCAGATTTAGATGGTACCTGGGTGAGCCATGAGGTCATGATGTTTAGGCTCCCTGACCAGGATCAGGGGTGCGTGGCACTAGAAATAGTAAGTAGCCAACGTTGTTCATTATTGATCCATCAAGTCAGTGGAGGCCAGTTGAAATGCCTGGAGGTGGCCACCCAGTGACAGATGGGGAGCTGATGTTCCAAGCAGTCCCTGGTGGTTTCCCCACCCACCTGCTAGGGGCAGCCTCATTCTGCCCCATAGGGAGGCTTGCCACTCTTGCCTACACCCTCTGCCCCAGCCCTTCCCATACTTTTCCAGCCACCCACGCTCTCCTCCCCACCCGTTAAATTTAAAGAAGTTGAAGACAAAGAGAGTACCTCAGTTTTGAAACACCCATCTGTCTGCTTCATCCTATTTCACTGGTCAATGTGGGAGGCCTCTGATTAACCATCTGGTGTTGCAAACCTGCCCTCTGGCCATCAAGTGGGTAAATCACAAAGAATTCCTTTGTCTCTCAGAGTGCAAGTTCCTGATCCACGTTTCAGCCTGACAGTGGAGTTCGGAAGCACACAGAGGAATTATTGTCCCTGCCTTCACTGGAACCCAGAGTATGCTTGACATAGGCTTAAAGCAAGTGTAATGGCCTACTCAGCTGTGTGTGTGACAGGGAGTGCTTGGAAATTCAGGTTAACATTTTTCCCAGGCACCCACTAGGATTTTCTACAACATTTCAAGTTTTTTTTTTTTAATCAGCAGTCCCAGTTGATGACTTCAACATCATATTTCTAGGGGGGATGCCCAAACATTGCTACCAATCAATGCACAAGGCCCAAAATTTACTGCTTGGGTTATGGTGGTTTCCATAGTTACAGAAAGGTCATACCAGGTCAGATATGGAAGATTCCAATTCACCAGCATCAATCCAGGGGTTGTAGAACCAAATTTATTTATGATGGTTTCCAAATATTCTGCAAGTGTGTTGAATTTTTTTTTTGCCAAAGGCAATTAAATCTTCTTTAAAATTACTGATCAGGCTCAGTTCTATTGACAGTAGGACTCACCATTGTGACTTGTCTTGAAAATTACTGTTATTTATGTAGAATTGAAATTACCTACATTGCTTCAATAACAAACACTAATGAAAGAATGGGAAATTGGCGAAAGGTTTAAAAGCTAAAAATAGAAGGTCAATTATTCAACCTATTCAAACCCCCAAAGGTGTTGGCTATGGAATATAATCAATTGCTTTTATAAAATTGTTTCAAATGGCAGTAAATCAAACAGAACAACAAATTATTTGTTATAATTTTAAGCTTGTATATTTTACTGGGGTATTTATGCATGATTTCCTCTAGTAAGAAATGTTCCAGCTATGCTTAGCATAAATTTTTTTTGTCTTGGCTTATCATAACTTGACTAGTATCATTTTTACTGATGAAATAACCACAGAACATCCTTGAAAAACCTATGCTCCACCTGGATATAGTCTAGTTTCTAGCCATTCTGGTGTATTAGGGATGGAAATTAGTTACTGACCCTGCCAGTAGCGCCCCAAATCCTGGCTACAAATGGTTAAAAAATTCAGATCTCCACTGATGGAAGGGCAGGAGTGTATTGGAACGGCTGCAGATTTTAGGCCCCTTTGACAGGGTAACAGTTGCGTTTTTTAATGAAATTTTCTGTGATATTTGGAATTGCCAAATTCCACAGAATATCAATACATGTTTATGACCATTTGTTCATCCTGGCCTTTAACTTTTTACCACAGTTAATTTTTTTTTTAATATGTTTTGCCAATTTATTTTCTATTTTTAGACGAGGGGATTGGATCTATCTCGTGTACGAACCTGTGTTGTTGTTGCAGAAGAGCGGCCAAGAATAGCTCTCACCCAGTCTTTTTCTAAGTTATTTAAGGACCTGAATCTTAACCCAAGAGCAGTTAGTACATCATTTGGCTGCAGAGTGAATCTTGCTATTTGCCTTCAGGTAGGAATTTACAGCTGGGAAGATATTCATCTTTATTACAGTTGTTGCTTAAGTATAAAAATAATGGATTTGTTTTTTCTGTCTGTAACTAATTGGCTGGCTTTATTTCGTTAATTTTTCTTCAGTTTTTGTATTTATTTGTGTCTCTCTATGATATACAGCAATTGCATGCTTTATGCTTGCTGTTAAAGTGCAAATTTTAAAAGGCATGAAACCTATATAATTGTGCATTGGTGTGTTCATGATTTTCTAACTCTACTGCATCCATCCCCTTGCTGTCTCATTTGATACAGCTGTAGCAGTTTGTAATTTTTGTAGGAATGGAGCTGAAGGAGTCTTTTTGTGATGTTTTAAAGATGTATACAGTGGATCTGTATGTTAGAGGTAAAGTTAGATCAGGTGCCAGCCAGTTTACAGTTGTCAAATGTTTAAAATTGCTTATAATTCATGTCCGAAGTAACTTCGATAATAACTTGATGAAAGATTAGTCCTCAATGTCTTTGCAACAGGTCAATAGGAGTAATAGCTTGTGCAAAGGGTGATTTGTTCATGGAGCCCATCAGTCAACGTCATTGAATTTAATGTAGGATGGCATGGTGGCTTAGTGGTTAGCACTGCTGCCTCACAGCCCCAGGGACATGGGTTCAATTCTAGCCTCAGGTGACTATCTCTGTGAGTTTGCATGTTCCCAGATGTTCCGGTTTCCTCCTACAGTCCAAACATATGGAGGTTAGGTGGATTTGTCATGCTAAATTGCCCATAGTGCCTAGGGATGTCTAGGCTAGGTGGATTGCACGTGGGAAATGCAAGGTTACAGGGATAGGGTGGCAGGGGTGGATCTGGGTCTTTGGAGGGAGGGTGTTGACTCAATGGGTTGAATGGCCTGCTTTCCACACTGTAGAGATTCTATGATCTGAGTGGAAACGAGTTTTTGTTTCCAGGTATGACAGCAAAATGTGATTTAGTTTTGTCATTGCAGGATGTAATTTATTTTTACATTGGCTTCAAATTTGGATCTGTGTTGAACTGTATTTGTTCAAGTACCTAATTAGCCAACAAATGATCAGCATATGCAAGTAAATCATAGAATGTACGGAAGTGTTTTGCATGTGGGGGATGGAATTTGTGTGAAAAATACATTGGGAGCTCCGTGCAAATCAATTTCAAGGAACACTACCATTTAGTTGTATTTTGATATAATGGCAGTAAAATAAGCTGGTTTCCTGAGGCAATATGGAAAATTATCACTCAGCAATTCTATTGGGCACAGTAATGGTGAAATTCCCTTTTTACACTATATAAATCTATGTGAAAATGCAGATATGCTTATGAAAGCGCTGTGTTTACAATCCTATTTCTCATTCTGCAGGATGTAAACCTGCTGGATGTGATAGCAGATTAAAATGTTACTGGTTATTCTTTTATGTGTGCTTTTATTTACCTACTGCTATCCTTGACCAAGAGGGCTGTGTGATATAAGGTTATTTGAACAGCATTTTAAATTGAGAAGTTTGCTAGCTTGGTTATCTTAAGCTCTTTCCAATGGCAAGTTATCATTTTACAGCTTTCATATTAGCCTGGAGTTTGCAGTCAGCAGAGAATGTACAGCAATTGTTATAAACTGCGCCTACATTTATACACAGACCTTGACCTAAATTATACAAAGTGCCATATTCCTAAAGAAATTGCTATATTTGCTAAAGGGTTTGGGGCGGGAGTGGCAACCTTTAAACTAGACTGGAAGTAGGACACCCACTTTCTGTATGATTAGTCCCACCTCAGACACCTAAAAGAGACCTACAGCTTTGTGACAGAAGAGAGTGCTATTAGATCTAGAATTTAGATGCATGTTTGGAGAATGTCACAGGGTATTGAGTTTGAAGACCCCAAAGAGGGCAGCTGGGATTTGAGAGGTCTTGTGGTTGAAGGGATTTAAAAAAAAACTAACGGGCCATCCATGAAAAGCTTTAGGAGGGATCTGCTCCCACCCACCAAGCAAAGATAGCTGCTGAAATTGATGCTTGGCATGAGCCAATGTCATCACAGCTTAAATCCCAGTTTGGTTGGGGAGGCAGCTGCTCACTAGATTTAGCAAACTGACTACTTTTGAATCCATCACAAGTATGAGGCAGCACGGTGGCTCAGTGGCTAGCACTGCTGCCTCACAATGCCAGGGACCTGGGTTCGATTCCACCCTCGGGCGACACATTCTCTCCCCGTGTCTGCGTGGGTTTCTTCCGGGTGCTCCAGTTTCCTCCCACAGTCCAAAGATGTGCAGGTTAGGTGGGTTGGCTGTGCTAAATTGCCTGTAGTGTTCAGGGATGTGTAGATGAGGTGGGTTATGTGGGATGGGTCTGGGTGGGATGCTCTGAGGGTTAGTGTGGACTTGTTGGGCCAAAGGGCCTGTTTCCACACTGTAGGGATTGTATAAAATTTAGAAAAATATTAGAAAACAGTGCCCTGAAGTGGGAATAAACACAGAGTATGCTGAAGATTAGTATGGTGGACTGGTTAGTAAATCTAGATCACATAGGATTCAGGAGAGCTTGCCATTTGGATACAAAATGGGCTTGACAGTAGGAGACTGAGGGTGGTGGTATAGTAGACAGTGAAGAAAGTTATCTAAGAATACAAAGAGATCTTGATCACTGGGGTCAATAGGCTGAGGAGTGACAGATGGAGTTTAATTTAGATAATTGTGAGGTGCTGTATTTTGGTAAGACGAATAAGGGCAGGACTTAAACAGTTGATGGTCGGGCCCACGGTAGGTTTGTAAAACACAGAAACCTAGGGATTCAGGTGTTTCAACCTAGGGGTTGAAAGTTGCGTCACAATTAAACAGTGTGTTTAAAAAAAGGCGTTTAGCACGCTTGTCTTCATTGCTCAGACCATTGAGTGTAGGAGATGGAACATCATGTTGCGGTTGTACAGGACATTGGTTAGGCCATTTTTGGCGTACTGTGTACAGTTCTACTCACCCTGCCGAAGGAAGGATATTATTAAATTTGAGAGGGTGCAGAAAGGATTTACCAGGATGTTACCGGGACTGGAGGGTTTGAGTTATAAGGAGAGGCTAGATAGACTGGGACTTTTTCACTAGAGTGTAGGAGGTTGAGGATTGTCCTTACAGAGGTTTATAAAATCATGAAGGATAAAGAAAAGGTGAATAGCAATGGTCTTTTCCCTGAAGTAGGGGAGTTCAAAACTAGACAACATAATTTTACGGCAAGAGGAGAAAGATATAAAGCGGATCTGAGGGGCAACTTTTTCACACAAAGTGGTAGATGCGGGTTCACTTAAAACATTTAAAAGAAATTTGAACAGATTCATGGATAGGAAACATTTAGAGAGATATGGGCCAAATATAGGTAAATGGGACTAAGTTTAGTTTGGAAACCTTGGTTGGTATGGATATGTTGGACCAAAGGGTCTGTTTCTGTGCTGTATGACTCACTAGGTCTGGCAGTATCTATAGAGAGAGAAAGAGGGTGTTTGTGTTTTGAGTGCAGGATGCCTCCTCTTCATGTTTGAAGAAGTCATACCAGATTCGATGTGTAGCTCTGTTTCTCTCTCCACAGAGGTTGTCAGGCCTGCGGAGTTTTTCCAGCTTTCTGTGTATGTTTCAGATTTCCAGCATCTGCAGTGTTTTGCTCTTAGTTGAATGTCCTTGAGAGGGAATTTGGGATCTTTGTGAACAGGGCAAGCATAATTACTTAATCGACCAGTGTTAAAAATCCGCGCTTTGGTCTGCAGAGTCTGAATCAGGAAGTTTAAGTTAGAGTAGCTAATTTGAGACTGAATCATGTATAGAAAGCAGAATGAGGTTGAAGGAAAATGTGTTAAAAGAGAAGGACTAGTAAATGATAAAAACAAGAGAAAGTAAAAGAAACAATTACATTTTAAAATCTTCAACAACGGTAGAAAAGCAGGTTGTGAGAGAGATATAGATAGCTTGGTGGGGGTGGGGTTGGGGGTGTGGGTAGCATAGACAGAGTCTGCGTATATTTAAGGCTGAGATGGATCCTTGATCAATAGGGGACTCGAGGGTTTTGGGGAAAGGAAAGTGAGAACTGTCAGACCAGCCATGATCCTATTGAATGGCAGAGCAGACTCCAGGGGCCTAATGGCCTACTCCTTTTCCTATTTAAAATAAGCAAAATTAAGAAAATGGGCAACAAGTCAGCAAATGGAGGATTATGTGGAAAAATATGAAGTTGCTCATTTTGGAAGGGAGAACAAAAGAGCAGAATATTATTTAAATGGAGAAAAACTGCAGAAAACTGCAACACAATGGGACTTAGGGGTACTTGTACACAAAACACAGAAAGCTAGTACACAAATGCAGCAGGTAATCAAGAAGGCTGATGGCATGTTTCCCCTCATTGTTAACATTTTCCCAATGGTTAGGGGATACCTAACATGTATTTTTCATGAGCAGCTCTATTAGATATTAGTGTAGTGAAGGTCCTAGGTGAGCAAGGCAAATTGAATAACAATGTCCTGATTTTCACACTTAACAGCACATGTGCTAAAGTTATAAGTACCTGTCCGATTTACTAATTAATTTAATAATAGCAGGCATTGACAGCTTCTATTAATTTTTGACATGAAGTCCATCTTGATAGTTATTTCTAGAAACTTATAGCACAACATTAACCAATTGAAGTAAAGCTGTTTTAAGACCTAATTTCAAGCTATTTGGGAACATTTAAATCAATAAAACCGATATCAAGGAAGTCTAGAAATTTCACAAAATAAATTTAATTGAAGTCCTAAAAATACCAGACAAGGCAGAAGACCACGGCATATGAAGTTGTAAAGATCTGTATCTTGGAACTAAACAATAATGAAATTTTGTTAATTGATGGTTACTCCATGTTCAAACAATTCACGTGCTTTTTTAACAAATGTATAGACTCACATAGAATTACAAATTTATGCCCGTTGTCCATTGAACAAAATATTTTATTTGGATATGGAGTGACTATCAAAAACTACAG